GTTGGTAATAATTGTTTATTTTGTCCGTGCACCCTTGGAGAGCTACAGAGGTAGGTTCAATACCTTCGGTAGGTATAAGGATTTTGTAATCTTATACTATATTAAATAATTGTTGATTATAGGACCGTGGACGAAACAAGAAGGTAGATCCATTAGTACCAAATGTTGAGTTTTTGAACATTGGCTCAAAGCAGTATGCAGAAAAAGAACATCAGAAGAATTTCTTAGATTTCACAGAGTAAGTATTTTTGTGAGTTTTCTTTCGTATATTCCACGCCCGCCAGTAAGTCTACGCTTTACAGGCTGTCAACGCTTTTCAGTTAACAGTTAACTGTAACTGTGTAACTTATAGACTTCACCATTGGATTGTGCAATAAATGGTTAGAAAAAAAAATAGAATTCATTGACAATTTTCACACTTTTTTTATAGATTTATAGATGTAAAACTTGATGTATTGTTTCCTTATACAGCCCAGTATCAGTGCTGCAGTGCAGTGTCCAGCGTTCGACGTCCCGGCCGGCTCGGATACGCGCACTATTGTGTAACGTGACCGGCGTGGCTCTATTGGCCGTCGCCTCTCACACGGAACAGGAGTTCTTGTCTCATGACCTCCATCATCTGCTTAATAGCTGTAAGTAACTGTCTTAACTTAATATTGGAATGCGAAAGTAAATTTGTTACATCTACACTTTATAGACTCAATCAATATTTTTCTTGCAACAACAAAAACATACACAACATCACGCCTTTTATCCCCGAAGGGGTAGGTAGAGGTGCACATTATGCCACTGTACAATGTAACATCCACTTTTCACTATTTATGAGTCACATGTAATAGGGGGTGAGCCTATTGCCATATACCGGGCACAATTCCAGACTCCGTGCTACTACTGAGAATTTTTTAAAAACCCAATTATACTCTGCCCGACCTGGGAATTGAACCCGAGACCCCTTACCGGCAGTCGCACTTGCGACCACTCGGCCAACGAAGCTCGTTAAAAAAAAAAAATTCCAGTCGCACCTTAACGGCTGTTGCCGTAGTTGTAATGTATAATAAATTATTCATATTATGTGCTAATACAAATCCCTTCCTTACAGGTTTCCTGAACATATCACCACACAGTTACAGAGAGAAGCAGGACTTGCTTCACCGTTTAGCAGTATTGCAGCATACTCTCATGCAGGGGATACCAGTCATCACAAGGTTCCTGGCACAATACCTGCCTCTGTGGAATGAGAGAGATTTCTTTGCAGAGGTAATCATCATGATACATGCCTACAATGCGTCTTTTATACTTTTCTTTTATGTCATAAGCCGGTAAACGAGCAAACGGATTATCTGATGGTAAGCAGTCGGCGTGGCCCATGGACACCTGGAACACCAGAGACGTTACAAGTCCGTTACCGTCCTTTTGGGGGTTAGGAGTTTGAGGATCGTTGGGGATTCAGGGATTGGGGAGATTGGGGAAGGGGAGGGTAATTGGGCCTCCGGTAACCTCACTCATACGACGAAACACAACGCAAGCGTTGCTTCACATCGGTTTTCTGTGAGGCCGTGGTATCACTCCGGTCGAGCCAGCCCATTTGTGCCGAAGCATGGCTCTCCCACACTTCGAACAGGGTGGCAGAGCACATATAATATTTTACATAAGTATCTATAACATCGACTTTTAGTGTGCGATTTTGCGACCCTGTCGTCACGGGGAGTGCTCTGAGGAATTGTTTGACCTGATACCTGCCGCATCTTTTCGCCATCGACCCTCACGACAGCATATGCATCCCCATCATATAGATGGTTGGCAGGCCACAACTGTGCGGTTCTCACGTAGCTTCCTGCCTCGCACAGCAAAACTGTGGAATGATCTGTCGTCGGCGGTATTTCCGAACCGATACGACCTTCAAACCTTCAAGAGAAGAGCGTACTCCTTTTTAAAGGGCCGGCAACGCACCTGTGACTCTTCTGGTGTTGCGGGTGTCCATGGGCGGCGCTGATTGCTTACCATCAGGTGATCCGTCTGCTCGTTTGCCTCCTATTCCATTAAAAAAAAAAAAAAAAAAACCAAGTATATTCTTTGTGTAATGTGTATGGCAATAGGCCCATGGCCTATTTGATGAAACCTCTAAAATACCTAATGCGTACTGGTTGATTGTCTCCCAGATCCTGGAGCTGGTGCAGTGGGTGAGCGTGGACAGCGCCGAGGTGGTGCAGGGCGTGGTGGATCCCCTCGAGGCCGCCTACCACCGCGCGCACTCTATGCAGCAGTGCGCCATACTCAGGAGTCTCAACCATATGTACTGTAATCTGGTAAGGAATGCTTAATAAATAGCTGTTTTAATTTGTTTATGTGATATCTATATAAATGTCGGATTACACTTGAATAATCATTTGTAAAAGAAATAAGTAAAATGGTATTTAATCTCATACTTATTTTATAAAGCTGAATAGTTTGTTTGAACGCGCTAATCTCAGGAACTCTTGGTCCGATTTGAAAAAATATTTTTGTGTTGGATAGTCCATTTATCGAGGAAGGATATAAAGCATAATGCTACGATGAATAGGAGCTGAGCAGAGCGGGTGAATCCGCGCAGAATCCGAGTTGGTAGTAGTATTATAAATACAAAGAGTCACTGAGTGTCATTTAACACAGTATCCTTGAATATTGAGGATCATACCCTTATATATTTCTTAGCATTTATTACTTTCATAGTCAATTAAGTACGTTACTTAAGAATTCTTCACACTAAATTGCTATAACTAGATGTTTCTATCTCCCAGGTATACGCCAGTACTAGAAAACGCTATCACTTCATGGGTACGCCGCCGTCGCCTCAAGTGTACGCCCAAGTACTGCCCCAAGTAGCCACCGCCATCAGTGACATGTGTGATAAAGAACTACAAGTCAATCCAGGTAAGTGTTCAGCTCTTTTCTTTTTTAGTGTTTTAACCCTGACCAATTTGAACTATGCTTTTGGTTATGTATTATTAAAGGTAAGTTTAATTTGTTGGTATTGATTGCAAGAAAACCCCAGAAAGCTTTACTATAGGATTGCAAGCATTCTGTTACAATGTTCGACGTTAACTTGAAACATTCCCCTTGTCTCCAAAGGCGTCCAAACGCACTTGGTAAAGTCCTTTGGTATCGTGGTATTCTTAGGCGATGTTGATTGCTTACCATCAGATGATAAGTATGTCCGTTTGCCCGGAGTATCTCGTGAAGAATGTGTTTATTTCGCGTGTGCAGAGCAAATGGTAGTGGTGCAGAGTACGGTGGGCGGCGCCGCTGGGCGCGCGCGGGGCGAGGCGCGCGGCGGGGCGGCGGCCGGCGCGCTGGCGCCCGCGCTGGCGCTGGCGCTGCCACTGCTCGGCGTCTCCGCTGCATTGCTCGACTCTGTCGCAGAACTCATGATACTGTAAGTTTACCACCTCACTATCTTATCTAAGTGTTTCACCATTTCTTTCGCTAGATGGCGGTAGTGGTAATTAATATGCAGTAAGGGGCTAGGTTTAGGAAGTAGACTAAAATTTTGATCGACAAAAACTAGATTATAATAGTTGTTATTGTCTGTTTCGGTTTTTATTAGAGTATTTTGGAAAACCGTATATCTTAACTTTGACTTAGGACTCTACAATGGATTTGTAGAGTTCGAAAATCGAACATACATAACATCATTCCATCACAATAGAAAAAGTGAATTGTCCGCTTATACATATTTTATGATCTATTGTATAGCACAATGTATACAATTGCTTTTTATTTCCAGGTACAAAAAAATATTTACTACAGCCAAACAATCAAACGTGATAATGAACAGCGACACTTTTGAGAAACAGATGCAAGTACTAGAAGCGTATACTTCAGATTTGATCAACTGTTTGTACAGCGAAGGCGCCCTGAGCGACAGAAACTTAGGGTTTGTATTCAGCAAATTACACCCTCAACTTGTTGGGAAACTTGGATCGTTAATGCCTGACGTTGACGCTAAGTTGAGTATTAGAAACAGTATAGCGTTCGCTCCTTATACCTACATACATTTAGACGCTATAGACCATAGAGATGCTGATAATAAGCTCTGGTTTAACGCAGTCATCGAACAAGAGTTTACTAATCTCAGTCGCTTCTTGAAAAGGGCTGTTACTGAACTGCGTTATCAGTAGAAAGTGACGTGCTAAAGTTCCGTAAATGTACAAATTATTCAGTGACTCTTACCACCGATACTGATAGTGCCATGTATAGGTTTGTTTGTGAGGTGATTATGGCAGAACCTCTTTGTAGAGGTGGCTCTGGCTTATAGTCCTGACAGTGTATTATCACCTTTATAAATAAGGGTCATCGTCCTGCAGTGGCCTGTCATGGATATTTTTTTTTTGTTTCCGTCTCTTCGTTAGATCCGCCTTGTCGTTCTCTAATTATGTATAAGCTGTCTTTTTTGACATGTCATCTTGTATCCAATGATAAAACCTAGCTTGGAACAGCTTAATCAAATAGCGTAGTGATGTTATACACATATAAGAGGTTCAGAGATAAATTGATCATATCATTGTTTTACTCTCTCTGCTGCATAAACAAGTTTGTTTGAAAATGTCGAAATTCTAGAAGTATGGGACTTGGTACTAACGTATCCTGTCTCGAGGATAACATATGATAGTGACTGCACTAATTAAATGCAAATTGTATTTTATACCATAATAGGGTAGTTTTCTAAATTTTATTTTAATGTCCGTCTGATACAACAATTTCAAACTTTAGACACGTATTTTTTCTTTTCTCACAAAATTAAATACTTTCGACGATATATTAATTTCAAATATCGTGTGACGTCACAGCGTGCTACATTTTGTAGCACGTTATGACGTAACGACCTCCCACTCCTTTACTTAGAGCAATTTTATCTAAGTATTGCAACTTAATACGAGAAAATAAAAAAATACGTGTCTAATATTTTTTCACTATCTAACTGACGGACTAATTAGATTTTTAATTTTGATACCCTGGAAACTACCCAATTTATGTCTAAATAATATATGGCAGTAAAAAACGTGTATTCTTTCCGGTATAAACTGATTGTGAATTTTGCTCAAAAAGCAGTTTACTTTCATTACAATTACTTATAGAATTCGACGGGTATTATTGTATAATGCTATTAAAAAATCTTCTTGGTTCTCTTATAGTTTAAGATGGGCCATTTAATGAAGTTTTAAGCCTAGAAATGTAAGAAGCGATCGTGTGAATGTTTTATATGAAGTAGCTATTACGATACTTATTTTTAATTGATAATGACTTATTAATTATGTTGTCTCCAATTATTTTCCTATTTTAATAAAAAATAAGTAAAAGTATGGTGTGATTTTTTTATATCCCCTGTCTCCCAAACACTCGTGGTACAAACTTTACTTTTATTATCTATTTGCTCATCATTTGTACAGTCGAAGGAAGGATGTGATGTTCACACGGCAATACGTAAGTAATGTGCATAAAAACGCGTGCGTACGCATAAACACACGCATGCCTACGCACACGGATAAAAATATGCGTGTGCATGTGTGTATAAGCGCTGCAGCGCAACCGATAGTAGTCTTACGGTGGCAGTGGACTTTTGACCTTTGACCGTACAAAATGTTTATTAACCCTATGTGGTTCGAGAAATTAACACGTTCCTTGGTTCAAACAAAAAAACAGCCGTCCGCGTCGTGTCGTAACTGTCATAAGAAGTAATAATTCAATTGTATGGTTATAATATTTGGTATCTAGGTTGCCGAAATTCTTAAGAATTCCTTGAATATTATAGGTAAGTCTGTCTCTGTTTTTAGGGCTGTCAGTCAATCTCGCCAAATTGCTCTCGTTGGCATAATTTTCTGTGCTTATCTTTTTGCTAGTAATTTCACGAGTAACGAACCAGTTTCTCTTAAGTGTTTCAACAGAAGAATAAGTAGCTTTAGAATAGTAATTAGGTTTCTAAACTGTTATAGCAACTGTCGTCACATTAAGCTCGCGCTGGATTAGAAATAAAAAGAGGTATCCATGAATAAGGCAAGGATTTAATATTCCAGTAAGTTGGCAAATATTTTAATAATCTAGGTACTCATCGACTTCTAAAATACGTTTTTCTACAACGCATAAAGTAAAATGTTAACAAAACAAACCAATGCACAAGTAATTTTCGTTGACACGAGAAAGTGTTTTACCGAATCAAAAATAATATTCAAACAATAATGTGTTAAAAGTTGTCTAAAAAAGAAAACAGGGAGGCAAACAGTACTTCACAAAGAGATGTAAGTTACTTTTCCATTTCCTCTTGTTACTGGTGCTCATTTATTTTTCGTGGTCCGTTCGAAAGCATAAATTATGGACACCGTGGCTGGAGACTGCTACGTGGCGGGGTGTCGTCGGCGCGGGCCGGAGCCGGGGGCCACCCCACGACCGCTCGCCGCCCTTCGCCTCAATGAGAAATGTTTCAGGGCCTTTTGTCCCCTTATGCCCCTTTTTGCGAGCGACATCTTCAAGGATACTGTGTTAATCGGACCCTGCGATACTTTTTGTAAATGTCGTCTACGGAAGTCGACTGGAAAAACTGATTTTTTGTGTGTCCTGTCAGCGTGTTTGCTTTTGATTGTTGTTTGCCAGCTGTGGTGTCACCTACTTTAGATATTCACTACGTTAACTTTATTCTAGATTTTGTGATTCCCTTGAGTTAGGAGTGGGAATTGTTCGTTCATTGTTCTAGTAAGTTGCGTACCTCCTGCTGCGCTTATCAGGAAGTTCTGCTTCATGTTTCTTTGCGGGAACTTTTGAAGTACCTACCTAGGTAAAGTTAGCATTTCAACACCAACATTCAAGTTTGTAAGATGAAGTAAGTAAAGTTAATTTTAATGAGCTAGTTAGTTATACCTTATACGTATGTTCAACTGTTACTTCTCATAGTTAGGTAAATAACTTTTCTTCCTGAAGCCAAATTTCTTCTTTCAATTTGTACTGCCATGAACTGTCCGATTATATTTTTTACTAGCTGACTCGGCAAACCTCGTACCGCCTAAAAAATATATTTCTCACGTTTTAAACCTTCCCTGGACTTCCACGAACATTACAAGACTAAAATTAGCCAAATCAGTTCAGCCGTTCTCGAGGTTTAGCGAGACTAACAAACGGCAATTCATTTTTAAACGGTTTTATTTACCTTACCCCGTTTGTTATTTATATAGATTATATTTAAGTGTACATCTCTTCAATCCTAGTGTATTTAAGTAATTGCTGTAAAAAGGAAGTACTGAAGTTATATTAACTATCTGAAATAAAAAATAAATGTAGGTAGGTGTATGCATTTTTCCTGAAATTACAGTGTAGTAAACGCAGGTGGTGTAGTTACATAAATGAGTAATAACCCATAGCTCTCGTAGCCGAATGTGTGAACAATATGACAGCCCATACAGTTACCTTAACAAAACACCCACAATTTAAGATAAGTACCTTCTTGTGCGATCGTAAAACTAATAAATATTTATTCAAATAAGCAGCAAGCATTACATTATTCAAGAAAGCGAATATTCTCGTGTGATTTAACGTAAAACGCGGTGCGGTCTCACAGCTCCCAGTGGGTTGTTTCTGCGGGTAAAAATATGCGCAACTGGTAACAATTGATAGGGGTGGCGGCGAGAAGGGTGCACTAGTTCATATCTCGCGAGGAGAACCCTTTGGAACCCCACTTTCCTTTTTATCCCTACTCAAAAATCGCTTCGGGAGACTTGTTTTCGTTGCGAAGTAACTACTGCTCCCATTTTTGCCAAATTTTTGTTTGGGGTGAAATGGATTGCGTAGCCATCCACGTCGTTTGTGTGATAATAAAATATAAGCAGTTGTATAAATTATCGCCGCTATCAGATACAATTTATAGGCTTTACGGCTTTTTTTGGAAATACATTTGAGATGTTTCAACTTAGGTGATTAGGTATTTATTTCCGATATCCATTCATAAGAATACCATACAGATCTAATCTAAATCCTAATCTTATAGATGTTTGTGTTGAAAACACTCTTTATTATCTCGACTAAAATATACAAGTGGTATGAAATGCCTATCGACTAAAATGCTTTTATTCCGAAAATCTCGTACTGAACTGATTTGCGGTTTATGTGGGCCTAACGTGATCTGTATGTAGGTATGTAGATAGAGAGACATCCAAACAGCGTATGTGTTTCCAAATGTCAAAGCCCTTATAAACCTCTGAGATCTGCAAACACGAGCGTTGAATCGTGTTAGTGTAGGCGAAAGCTCACCCGGCTGCTGTCTGTACCCGAATCGATAAAATTCGGGTCCGCGCCCCCGTGCGTTACCACGGCAACGCGCCCCGAGTCCCCTCCAGCCACCACCCCGCCGCATCTCCGAGAACACCGATGTTGACTTAGACGGATAGGGTAAGAGGCTTATTAATGGTTTTATGTTACTTCAATGTTATACAAGGAGCTACATCAAATACCTCGTCGAATAAAGACGGCATCGTACTCATCAAAAAAAAAAGAAAATAAATAAGAATTGATTGGTTTTCACTGAACGACTAATATTTTCCCAAAGCGAACGGTGAGTATTGTACATAGTAGGAAACGGGAGAGACTGCAAATAATAGTGGAACATTTCCAGGGAGCGATCGCCGCCATCTTGCTAGACCGCGTGACGCCAACCATTACAAATCGGGTGCGTTCACGTCGTGCCTCGTGTCGGCAACTCGTCTGCATTATTTTCATCTGAATTCACATTTCATCTGCCAAGTGTGAATTATTTAAATTAGTTTTCAGCCCACGAATTTTATATGGCATCATTGTGTAGAAGTGTAGTTGATTTATTTTGGTCTATCTATCTACATAGGCTTTTTGATTTTTGATAGGGTTTTCTTTCGGTTATTTGATTATTGACCTTTAAAAATATTTGAGACTGATTAAACGCGCAAACTTTTATATTTATGTAGATTTGATTATATTGTAGGTAAAATATAAAGATGGCAGTGCCAAAAATATAGGTTTGTGTTACGAGTTCAAAATGTGTGGATCCAGCGATTACCCAAATAAGTTAGTGGCACGATCCCGCATTACAAGTAGGAGCCGCGACGCAGCATTGTAATGTGGGGCGCGTGTCCCCCTGGCGGCCCAGCGGAGCACCCGGCTACTTTTCGGGCGAGCCAGTAGCCGCTTTGTCCATGAACAGGGAGCGAGGGCGTGCAAACTTTCTCTGCCCATAAAACTCTGTTTACTCAGTACGAGCTTAAACATTTCTTTGCGGGTCAGGATTACTTAGCGATGAATAAGTAAATTGCATTTAAATTTTCTTTGTGGAACGTGCGTCGCGTCGCCTCGTAGCTTTATGAATTTTAAAATGAAGGCGTGCTGCAGATACTTACGGCGGCGTGAGATAAATTCTTATTAATATTCCCGTGGCGCAGTTTTAGTTCTTTTGTCTTGCGCGGCTCGGGCAGGCAATAAAGAGGTAGACGCCTGGAAATGTGCTGCATTTATACAGGTTTGAGATGGCGGCGCCCCGCCTGCCGCCTCCCGTCCCAGCGCTTGTGCTTTATTTTGTTCGCTCGACGTTCCTTTGCCAGGCTTTCCCGCTCTCTTATTGCTCGCAGCTAAGACTAACAAGGTTTTTAATTATTTCCTTTAATGCCACTTTCAGCGGCGTTACATACGGTGCTTTGTAGTTCTAACGTCGTACTCGCTTGCAGCCTTATCTTGTTCTAGAAAAGCTCTGCTTTGAA